CCAATCAACAGCTGGAGCTGCCACTTGTGCCCTGATGTCAGTGGCAGAAGGAAAAACAGAATTTAGGCCATGAGAGACTCTATTGTCAGTTAAATTATCATAAATGAAAGCTTTCCTCAATCTATCCTTACTATTTTTTTTTAACCACTTTTGTGCCCATTTCTGTCCTCATATTTTGTGTCTGGAGGGGTTTTTAAGTATTTATTTTGATTTATTTTTTAAAGTATTTATTTTTATTTCTTTTTTAAGTATTTATTTATTTTATTTATTTTTAGGTATTAATTTTACTTTAAGTATTTATCATTTTTAGCAGCAATGGGGGAACTGAACTGGATGAAATAAGAAATGGCTTGAACCTTTATGTGCAGCAAAAATAAATGGGAAAACCATCTGTACTGTAACACAAGAAACAAAGGGCTTTGAGAATAGGTTTTAAGCAATCCCTACCTGTGAGTAAAAATATCCTTGCAATTCTATATGCCAAAATAACTCAAAAAAGCAGTTTGGAGGTCAAAAGCTGTTTTCTTATGGTTCTCCTTGGAATAAAAAAGGGAATTCTAGTGACACATAACAGCAATTTGATTTAGCAGAGAGCCCCTGGCAGACAGCTCTGCTGCTGTAGCCTCAGGCCACAGCAATTCCCTGATTTTCTGCTGATAGGTGTGGCCTAATCTGATCTGTTGAAGTTTGATATTTTTTTTAAATGAAATTTAAAAAACCTTTTCATAAACACACAGAGTCTCCATCTTCTTTTCCATTTGCAAAGCAAAACTTCAAATAAATACAGAAACATATTAAAAAATATATATACGTACATATATAAATAAATAAAGGTAGCTAGATAAAGGGAAGTCAGATAAGATGAGGGAGCCACAAGCAACCACTGTTTAAAAAGTGATATTTCAATTCTCCTTCCCATCACTAATGCCTTTACACATTAATGTGGGGAAATGTATGGAAAAATCCATCAACTCACCTGCTACACCTCAAGTTTCGAAATTATTTGGTAGGAAACTTCCAAACACCCACATTCCCCCAAAAAGTTTGAAGTAGGTTTTTTTGGTTTGTTTTTTTTTTTTTTTTTTTTTTTAGAAGACCTTTTAAAACGTCAAGATAATTCAAGTATTTGATGAATAAAATTCAGTCTTTGAATAAAAAACGAAATAAATCTCCAAGAAAGAAGCACATTTTGCACTTTGCACACCTTCTCAAAGGCTGCTCCTGACAGGAACATTGTGTCTCCCAGCAATCAGAGAGCTGTTCTTGCTTGGCATGCAAATATATTCTCCCAGATAAAAAGAACTTTCACCTGGCTACCACATCCATGTTCCCAATACCAGCAATAGATTTGCATCAATCCTTGCAAAACAGCAAGATTGTGCTAAAACCTTATTTTTCCTCCTTTCACCATTTCAGTTTTGTAGAATGTCATTGCTTCTTATGGCTTCTGTGTATTATGGGTGTCCAATATGTTATTATCTACCTGCTCTGCCTTTCAGCTGCAATAAAATTGTCTCTACTCTTTGTGTTTTATTTCATTTTTTCCTTTAGGTTTTATCCAACAACGACCCTTTTGTCCCAAAAGCTTTCCCAGCTCACATTCACAACATGATTAATATTTACTAACATATAGACCAACATATTTTTATTTTATTTCCTCTGGGGAAAGGGAGTGAATGAGGAAGGGAGTGAATGTTTTGCACTTTCCTGTGACTTGTCTTCCTTTGGTTCAAGTTTTGCCACTACATCCTGCCACATTCTGTGCAAAGGCACCAAATCACAGCAAGAACAGCCCTAAAAATTCAGATACTTACCCAGCACAAGCAAAAGGAGCCTTTTATCCCTCACACCCATCAAGCAGCAAATGGAAAGTCGGTGTTAGATCCTCACACTAACAGCTCCAGCTGGGACTTTTCCACTGGTGCTGAAAATCCCTCAGCTAAAACCTAATTGTGGTGTCTTCTTAATCAGGCATATCACACCCAGCCAGGAAATTAAAAGAAGAAATTCCTTTCTAATTAAAACTGGAATTATGAAAGCGAGAGCTGCACAGGAAAGTTGAAATCAGTGGTTTTGGTGTTTGGAGTCTCTGTTTCATCACTGCTTCTTGGCATCCAAGATCAATGTGCTCCTGCCCCAAGTACAATCAAAGCATTCCCAAAATGCAGATTTTGCTCTCAGAGTCTTTGCAGCCCCCACCCCAGCTCACACGAAGAAATGCACAAAGCCTGAATTTATTTCCATGTGGAAGCAGGAATATTGAACACAAAGGTTTGCTGGAGAACAGCTTCACACAAACAGCAGAAAAGTTGCTCTGAAGCTGAAGGGATGCAAAATCAGCTCACCCAGCAACTTAATCTTGGAAAGCAGTAAAAAGAGCTATATTTAATGATGCTATTGTTCACTTGGAATAATTTGTGTTTAATTTCTCAGGGAAATTCAAATCTTTTATGCCAAGCACTGATATTATTCCCTTTTTATATTTTTATCAATGGTTCAGTTGCCCCTTAATCAAAAGACAATGCAAGAGGGAATATTTCTCATTCAGCAGAGCATCTTGACTAATTTTATGGTCCCCTATGTGATCCCTCTGAACAGAAGTTCACACAAAGAGCAATTTACAGCACACACGTAGCTGGAGAGCTAAAAATAGAATATGCAAAACTCAGTCTTGGCAACAGAACCCTTCCAATGCCCTTTGGGTTTCAGCTGATATTCACAATTTGATTAAACATGCTCCAAGAATGAGAGCACGAGCATGCATTCTGTATTAGCAGGAAGGAAAAGAATTCTGTCTATTTATCCTGGAAACAACTCCCTCAGGTGTTTTTTTACTGTATTTATTTGGGATGCAAAATGGGCTATGGAACAATATCTTGTATCTTAAAGGTCAGCTTGTTATAAACTGTGAATAAAATGAAATCCCCTGAGATTGGAGCTGTGGTTCTCATGGAGTCCATATTTCAAAGCTTCAGCTCTTAAGATCTAAAAGATCTTCATTAATTTCAAACAGATAAGTTCAAGCAGTCACGGATCTGCATCCAGAGGATTTCATCCCTTTATCAGTTTAGAATCAGTCTCTGTGCAAAGCTAAAAAAGCACTGACATGCTGAAATATTGACTCTTTTTAATAGACACATAGAACTAATTCCAACAAGGAGCAAGGTAGCCAAGTCAGAGAAAAAAAAATTATATTGAGACCATTTTAGAACTAATATTGACCAGAAATGTTTCAATAAACCACATGAAAAAGACAGATTATTAAACTTAATATTGTAAATGTGGAAGGTCTGATGATTTCCCATTTACTCTGGGATTCATAGGGGTCAACTGGTGCGGAAGATGAGCAGAAACACTTTGATCTCAAAATGAACAGCAAAATATAAAACTCTGTATAAGCCTCTGCCAGTCCCACCTGACTGAAGAAACAACCCCCTGCCTGCCCTGCTGCTCCCTAGGAAGTAGGAAAATTCTTCTGGCACTGGGAATGTTCTCCCAAAGCCTTCCCAAAGTCATACCCCGTGCCTTGTCCTGATCCTGGCTGTTCAGGGTGTTTTATTCTCTTTCTCCAGGAGGAAGAACCTGAGCTGACTTAGGCTGTAACAATATTTAAACAACCAAAGTGTATTTTCCTCTCCCCAGCAATCAAATACTACATTTGTGAGAGCAGGAATTACCCAGCAAAAGCAAACTATTCTTGCTGGTTTGGAAATGCACAAATGAAATTTAAGGAGCTGCTGCCATAAAATATCCACTCTGAGTTATCACACAGGATTTGTTTTCTCTGATTGCATTTTAAGAGACTACTTTTAAAACAAACATCAAGTACATGCCTGGCTTTATTCTGCAGCTCAGTACAGACCTATAAAAAGGACAATACATGTATTCATAAACTAGAAAGAAAAAAAATCTATTTGTTCAGCAACGTTAACATTCAGCTTGACCTTTTAAAGAACAAATCTATTGGAATTGCAAAAAATTTCAGTCTCTTAATTAGCTCTGCACAAAAGAATCAGATGAAATCAAACGCCACAAGCAAACAGGATATTTTCCACTCTGGCCTCCTGTACAGAGTGAATAAAATACTTCAGGATGTAACTCACCTGAAACCATTATGAAGAAAGATCATTAACCTCACTGATTTAACTAATTCAATTTGTGCTCTTTGAGCATTAATTGAAATTTCTTAGACACAAAAAAACCCCCCATTTTGCACATATGAAGACTCAGTGAAAACCAGATGTGTTACCAACACATTTGTGTTCCCAAATTTATCTGCACCAAAACTGAGTCACCCCAATCTAATGACACCAGGAGTTTTTTAAATGTCTCATGGCCATTTTTAAATAAATCCCTGTTCTTGGGGGAAAAAAAATACACTTTTTAGAGCACCTGTTCTCATTTTGAGGACCTCAACAGTACTTAATGCTTCATAATCAAAAACAAGACATTAAAGAATTAACTTCTCAAAAAAAAAAAAATTACACCTCCTTCTGCTGATGCCTCAGGTTTGAGCTTTTCTGTTTTTCAGATTCTGTGCTGCTTTAGTATGTGGGTGTGAGCTTCATATAAGGGAAAAGTAAGCTCTCTGCACAGAGTAGGGAGACAATTCCTTCTCCAGCTGGGGACCAAGGAGAAATGATCCAAATCTCAGCCCAAGAGCCTAAACAGTGTGGACTGAAGAGAGAAAAATAAGAAGGATGGGATTCATAACCTAAAGCTGGAATTGGACAATTAACCTCAATATGCATATGGAGCAGAGCTGATCCCAGGGAGAGACCCCGTGAGCGCTCGTGCATTTTGGGACCATTTGGGTTCATCTTGCCTGCAGCCCTGGCTGGGCTCTTGTGGTGCCAAGGTGGATCCATGGAAGAGATCCTTTTCATAAATCCCAGCTTCATTCTTTAACTCCATCTAGTCTCTGTCCTAGGGCAGCCTTCTCAAGGCATCACTGCTAGGCCACACTTAACAGCCCCCCCCAAAAAAAGGCACCTACTCACCAGAATTTTTGTAGTGTAAGCACTGTTGATAGCAATCGCATTGACCAGCAGCTCCATGGTTTTGGCAGGGATGGAGTCGGGGTCGGGGATCTCCTTGTAGTGGACGTCGCCCACGTAGGCCTGCACCACGGTCATGCGGTTGGTGGTCAGCGTGCCCGTCTTGTCCGAGCAGATGGCCGTGGCGTTGCCCATGGTCTCGCAGGCGTCCAGGTGCCTCACCAGGTTGTTGTCCCTCATCATTTTCTGAGGGGAAAACCCACCAAAACCCAAGTAAGAAATCCTTTGATGTCGGCTTTGACGGGTTTTTAGTAATAAAAAGGAAAGCAGCCCATGGTTAGTCCTGCTGGTGAGAACAAGATGTTCTCTAGAGCAGAGTTTTGGCCCAATAACCCCAATTCCCAGTCACAGACAACGAAGCTGTGCCTATCCCTGAGGTAATTTTGCCTTTGATAAACTAAAAGGGTTGCATCATTTTCCTGCAGTAGGTTTGCATTTTAAGGAATAGCTGAAACAGGTTGTTGTCCCTCATCATTTTCTGAGGGGAAAACCCACCAAAACCCAAGTAAGAAACCCTTTGATGCCAGCTTTTGAGGTTTTTAGTCATGAAAAGGAAAGCAGCCCACGGTTAGTCCTGCTGGTGAGAACTTGAAGTTCCCTAAAGCAGAGCTTTGGTGGGGGCCAATAACCTCAAACCCCAGTTATAGACAGCAAAGCTGTGCCTATCCCTGAGGTAGTTTTGCCCTTGATAAACTTTTAGAAGAGTTGCATCATTTTCCTGCAGTAGGTTTGCATTTTAAAGAATAGCTGGAACAGCAAAGATGAGCTAAAGGAACCAGAGATTTTTAATTATTGTTATAGCAAACATTTGGGATTTTTTCTTAACACTGCTTGGAATGCCAGGACATTATCTGGCAGCACACAGATGGACCACACGTTTTGGGGGAAAAGCAAAAGAGGAAGGGTATCAGAGAAAGGACATCAGGAAAACGAGAAAACATTTTCAAAGCAGCTACATTCTTCATTAGCAAAGCCCCATCCTTCAGACTTACTTCCTCCTTTTTCCTAATAATTGTGATATTTGACTACACAGAAGCCAAAAGATTCCTTCCTGAACTTCCCAAGTTAATTTGTTTACATGCTAAATGGAAATCAACTTTACACCATCTTCATCTAAGATTCCCAGAATGTTTAAATCATCTAATTAAATTGCTCAAGTAATCCTGAAGTCCAGGATGTTAATCCTCTTTAATTTCCTAATAGAACCATTTACATTGACTTCAAAGAACTGCAATTGCATTTAAGAAAAGTACATGAAAGCTTCAGTGAAACTCTTAATTTCTTTGAGAAGCTCCAATTTCTCTGAGAAGTGCTCCTGAAAACTTCAAATCTTTGTCAAAACTTTGTAGAGTTGCACAAGAAAATCTGAATACAAAATTATTCTATATCAAAAGACTGGACTATTCTCAGAGTACATTCTGCTCAATAAATTCCTGGTTCCTTGCAAATTAAGTAGGTATTTCTACTGCTTGATATTCCTGCACTGTGCAGTTTTAAGGAGATGTGTTGGAAGATGTATTTGCATTTTTGTTAGAAATACTTTCAATATTAAAGTGTTCTTTAAAGCAATTTCATGAATATTTTGAGCACATAATTTTCAGACCATTTTTCATCCCATCTGATAAAATCTGAGGACCATCTTATTGGTGAACTCAAGCAAACAGCACTTTTATCCCTGGATTATTTTGAATGTCTCTTACCTTTACAGAATAAGCCAGAGAAATAGTGACAGCAAGTGGGAGTCCCTCAGGAACAGCAACCACGAGCACAGTAACACCAATAATGAAGAATTTAACAAAATACTGAACGTAGACAGGAGTGCACTCAGGCAACCACTGCTTCTTGTTGACCACAAAGGTGTCAATGGCAAAATACAGTACCAAGATGATGACAGTGATGGCAGACATCACCAGACCTGGGAGGAGAAATCACCAGTTACCATAAACCCAAACAGCGCTGAGAACACAAGCAATTAGAAATTGGGATTTGATGGGAAATTCTTTCTTTCTTTGTGATGTTTTTCACCAGTACCAATAGCAAGGATAAATGAAGAAAAAAAACATTGTCATAATATATTTACAGTGTACAAGGAATTCTAGGAAATTCATTTTTAAGCACTTACTGCTGCCTTTACAACTTCCCAGGCAGTGCAGGAGTTCTGCTGTCACTTAACCTAAGCTTATTCAATTTAGCACATTACTTTGCCTGGTACAACATTTATCTGTCCTTTTAACCCCCACCTTTTACAAATTACTTGTCTATCCATATTTAAACACCTTTCTTCTAAGTATATCTTTAGAGGCTTAAGCAAAGGAGCCTCTCATGTTGCTGTATAAAATAGAAAAGTCCTACAGATGAGTCTGAGTGAATATAAAGAGGCAATAATGCAGAATTATCCACAGGACAGTTTTTCACTGGGTTTCTTTAAAATGTGGCTAATACTGGTGTCTCCAATGTGTCCCTTTTCAAGGGAACATCTGCAGAGTGTGTATTTTCATGAGCAGAGGTTCCAAAGAGACAGAGCCACCAATAAATGTTTCACAGAAATGACAACACGTCCCAAACATTCCATCCACTCTCCCAATGGCACAGACTGCTGGGATAGCACTCCTGCTCCACAGTTTTGTCCCTGGGTTTGAGTACACAAATAAAATTTCCATTATAGCCTCAGCTTTGCCTTGCTCTGACAGTCCTGTTTGTTGGGTTTGTGTGAAGGAGTTAAGCCTGCATTTTGGAATAAATTAATTTCTCCCTAATGAGATCACAGAGTAGAAGGAGAATGCTGTGAATTTCATGTCTTGACTGCAGTTCTTAAAAAATTGGTAAAGCTGAAGGATGCTAAGGTTGACAGGAAACAGATGAGTCAGGGAGATGACTCTGTGCCAGAGGATAAAGGAAAAACCATTAAAATATTGTACAGGCAAATACTCCTGACAAGGCAAGACATCCCCATAAGTTGCTCAACACCAAAGCAAAACCAAATGAGACAATGATTAATTAATTTAATTCCTGTTCCTTGCCACATTCTGGTCAGAAATCCCTACACAATTACTTCAAGAGTGAGGTACACGTGCCAGAGCAGAGGTCAAGGCAATACCGAAAGATATTTAATCCAAGGAATTAATCATCAGGGGAAACAAACAAGAGAAACTGGAGGAATATGAACGGGGGCAAGGCATGAAATTAGATATCAGGGATGATAATCCTGGATTTGGTCACATTCTGCTCAGGCAAAGGGAAATGGCATCGTGGGGTTATGTGATCAACTCCTGTGATGAACTCACAGAGGGATGGGAAGGGAAAAACCACACTGGGGGAGAAGGCTGAGGGACATGGAGCAGAAGTAAAAGGATCTTGAAGGGTCTCCACCAAGGAGCTGAGATCAAAATCTCTTTATTATCATGATAAAAGCAAACCTAAGGAACTTTAGGCCCTTATGGAAGATTTCCACTCTCTGCCCACATGTTGGAGAAGTACTGTCTCCAACTCCAGGGGCCAGATGGTTCTGGATACACGAGTCCAAAGATGTGTCATGCTTGGGGAGAAGGCAGGAATGTGGATATTTGGGGAGAACAGAATGATTTCAGAATCCATGAGAGGGAAATACTGTGTGAGTGATATTTTGAGATGGTATTAGAGATTCTGAAACTGTGTACTCCCAAGTTCTGAGGGGAGAGGAAATTAAATACGTAATTACTGCGCTTGGGAATATTAACTCTGAGAAAAGCTGCATTTAATTTTGATTCAAATATTCATTACAATCCAAGTTGCTCAAAGCTCCTTGGCAGTCAAAGCTGATTTTTAGGAGAATAAAAGATCTTCAGCACCACATACTCCCCTTAGAACAGCTTTGTGATGACCCATTTCCAAATCTTGCAGTAAAAGAGGGCCTGTCCCTTTTCAGAACCATTTGCTTTGCAGCTCTTTGTCTCCTGTGACCCAGAGAGCTTTGGTGTCACCCAGCCATACCTGCTTTGCCAATCTGCACTGCCAGCTTGGTCAGCTTTCCCTGCAGGACCGATTTTTCTTTCTTGTGCATGTTGGATTTCTTCTTGTCCTTGTCGTCTCCCTCTCCCCCTTCTGCGCTCTTCAGCGGCTGCATCTCCATGGCAGCAGCCCCGTCCTGCTGCTTGGCTGATAATGCAGAACAAAACTGTTACTCCACAGCTTTATCCCTTCCTTCTCTCCGTGCTCATCCTCTCTGAACCCAGCCAGCCTGGGACAATCCCTGCCAGGGACACCCTTGGCTCCCTGGAGAGCCAGCAGGGCTCTGCAGGACAAGGCTGTGCCAGCGCATCCCTCAGGACATGGGGGGATTTGGGCTGGAAAGCCCTGATGGGGTTCATCCCTCATTTTTACCCCCACTCATGACGCTCTAGGCCATACACATATATGCCACTGAATGTCTTGCAGGTGACTTGGCAGGTGACAGCACCAGCACTGCAGGATTCCCTGGAACAGCAGAGCTCAGGCAGAGCTGTGACAGATCCACATTCTTCTCGATTTGAGGATGCCTCTTAGAATGCAATGCATATTTCCAATGCAAATATTTTGAAGGCAATGTGGTTGCACAGGTGGCCCATGTGTCACCTCTGTGGGCTGCAGGGGTACCTCAGTGACCAGGGGACCACACTCTGCCATCCGCCATTCCAGAAAATCCCTCTGTTATAAAGTTTCCTCAGCATTCCATGATCAAGGTACTCAGCCCTTGGGTCTGATGGAGGTGGCATCACCATTCCCCCACAAAACCCACACACAGTTTCAGGGCTGATGCCTTCTTTCCTGACAGAATGCCAGCAGAAGGAAACTTTATTTTTACCTGTTTCTGAACATGTAAATGACATTGCAGTGGATATATGTGCATGTGTCTGGTTGGTACTGAGCACAACAAATAAAATAGGATGAGATGAAACAGCTTTGCTTTCATGAAGAGATTGTACAAGACTGTGCTTGTTTGACCTGGAAATCTAATTTATCTACCTAGCCTGAATGCTTATTATTTAATAGCATTTTATTTGGTACTTTTGTACCATGAACCACTGAGTTTCTCTATCCAGTTTCTGAGCCATCACCTTTGCAATGTTCAATATTATCTGAGAAAACTGTCATTTAATTTGGTATAACCCAAAGAGCTATTGATAGCTCTGTCTTATAATAAAAAGGGAACCATGACTTTGCTTCAGAGAAAGCAAAATACTGATTCCAATTTCTTCCTGACATTGTATACTAAATAAGAAACACCTAGAACTCTCAATCTTCCTGTTGTTTATCCTTATAAAAGGCTTTTGCACTGCTAGATAACACCTTGGCTTTAAGGTTTCCTTTTTTTATTGCTTTGCCTTTCCCCTGCACATGAAGAGATGTCCAGACAATGCCATCAGACACCAGAGATGATGAGACATAAAAAAACTAGGCTGGAAAATCACTAACACTACATAGGATACACAACTTGCACAGGAAAAATTAACTCAAATGAGCTTTGTGAGATGAAAGCAATATCTATAAATGGTCCCTTTAAAATACTCCACTCCTAAACCTCTGCAGCTTGTGGAAGTTACAATCTCTTTGGCTGGGGTTGGCTGTTTGGGGTTTTTTTGGACATTCTGCATGAACAGTTAGGGCCAGTATCACACACAGGCACAGACCACAGGTTCTCACTGTACTTTGGGACAGGGTTGAACTACATGCTAACAATACAATCCACAACCTCCTGAACAGCAAAGAAGATTACCTTTGTTCTGGTTGTTCTCCATATTCCCATCCTGCATCTTGCCTAAATGATGAAAAATTCCAACAGACAACAGACAGTAAACAACCTTCAGCTGAGACAGAACACGAAAATGGGGAATTACATCAATGGGAGACAAAAGCCATGAGCACACCACGGGCACCTGGGCACCATCCCTGCCCTCACACCTGCACTCACTCAGGGCCAACCCAGCCTGGCGTGTCCAAGGAATTCCAGCCAAGCTCAGGGTTGGAACACATTAAATGCTGAATATCAGCAGGTATTTTTGAGAAATCTGCATAAATTCAGAGGGGAAAACTAAAAAAGTGGATCTGGTGGGAAAATGAATTGGAATAATATTCCTGAGCTGATGTTTCAGAGGGCTGGGACTTAAAAACTCTGGCACACACCAGTATAGAGTAAGACTTTCTTAATGTATTCCAGAATTAAATTAATCATGTTATTAAATTGAGAAAAAATAGAAACAATAGTGTTAATCAATCCAAATGAATGAATAAAAATGCAAATGAGATAGGATTTTTAAATTACATCTTCCTCACTTGGTTGTACTAATTAACAAATTTCTCCTGGAAATACAAGGGCCAGGTGACCTAAATTCAGATTTATCCTGCACAGATTTTCCATGTGCCTCTTTAATTTCCAGCTTGATATTTTATCCACAGAAAGTTTTACCACAGAAAGTCCTTATTCCTTTGTGCCTTTTTCAAGTGGAAATGTCATTTGAAAGTGTGCATGAGATAAAAATGGCAAAATGCACAAATCACATACAAAACTTTGGTATTCAGAATAACAGCTAAACATTTTCAAATGGATTCAAAATTTCTTGGTGGGATCCCTTACAAAACTTTCACGGGAATTATATGAATTTATGGAAAAGGCTACAACAAATATTATCTCAGAATGGATGACAGTGTCTTTTGGTAGTTATGTAAAATGCACAATAAAAAATGATGCTAAGGAAAATTAAGTTAAAACTCCATTACAGGATTGTTGACACATTCTAATAAGAAATGTACCATCAGAATTTATTAAAAAATGTGCCAGCAGGTACATCTTGTTCTTCTGACTGCTGTGTGGATTATTTTTTTTCACTCTGCTGTGACTAAATCATAACAAAATGGAAAATCTAAGATGCCTCTCTTGCATGTCGGTCTTTGCACTAAGTGGGAGAGCAAAAGTGACCAAGTCAATGCTATATTTGTCAAAAATAGGCCCCAGTGCCACACTGGGAAATTCCAAAGCCCAGAAGCAGGGTCTAAAATCATCTCAGAACTCAGGTGAATTACTGCAATAAACCACTGACCATCAGCTGCATGTCTGTATTTCTAATTCTATTCCTACCCTGGCAATAATAGGACTTTAAAAAATTCAGAATCCACCTTCCAGAGCTTTACACAAGAGAAGAATCCATGAGCTTGAGCAAAACCAAGCTCCTTTCCACAGTGAAATTCCCTATAAAACCTCGGCCCATGGGGCACAGTTGGGCTCAGTACCTGCCTGGTGGCTGTTTTTCTTAGAAGGGCTTTTAATAAAGTTACTGGAAGACACAAAATATCTCTGGAGATTTGGATTTCTGGCTGGAGCATAAAGCCTTCCCCAAGAACTGGAAGGCACTAATTTAGAGCAGGCAGTCTGCTCCATTTCCTGCTCTGGAGATCCTTTTGCAGAATGCAGTTCCAAACCTCGGAGTGGCAAAAAAATTGAACAATATTCAACTTTCAAAAAGACAAAAATCACCAACAAAACCCAAATGTGGCTGTCCCAATTTGCAGACACATCACAGAGATTTTTCTTTTGTAAATTAAAATATGTACTTTTAGGACAAATATTTGCTATTTAATGGCATAATTATCATAATAAATTACACCATCAATTGACTGGCTGACTGAAAATAGCAGTACACAAAATAAGCAATCATTACCAACATTTTAAACTCAGGTATTTTAAAAATACCTTCTTAATATTCTTAATCTGCTGCATTCAGATTATTGAGTGGGGGAAGTCATCAGAGGTAGTTACAGTTCAGTTATTTAGACAGAATAACAAAGATAAGGTAATTTGGGTAATCAAGATAAAGAAAAGAAACCTGTAAACTATTTATATCCTCCTGTGCCAAATAATTTTAAGGCTGCACTTTGGTATAAAATATGAACAAGGAAATAAAAGCAGAAAGAAAGGTGATAGAATCACCACTGCTGAGAGATCCTTCCTCCTTCCAGGTACAAATACTCCCCCATCCTTCTCTCCTTGGTGCATTATTTAGAATTCTCAAAAGGAGGAGTATTTATTCATATTTTGATAGCATCACATCAAATAATTCTTTAAAAATGCACTATTTTTTTTTACATAATTCTGCAAATATTTTCTTCCTTTCTGTTTGGAATAATAGATAAAATAAATGATGTTTGGGCTGGAGAAATCCATCTGAGTTTTTTATCACTTTTCTAAGCAAGGATGAAAAATCAGAAAATTTAGAATAGCACTTCTAAGGTCTGCATTCTGCAGCTGACTTGAAAGTTCTGAATTTAAATACAAATATTTTTCACACGCCTTTGCCTCACTACAATTCCTGTATTTTGGAAAAGACTCATGGCACCTTTACTGATTAAATTCTTACTATAAAAGTAATGGACTTCACCAAACAAGATTCCCAAGAAAAGCCTCCCCTTTAGTGGCTGCAGCCCTTGTGAAAGAATCAATGACACAAAAAAACAAAGCCCTGTCACTATTTTGGAAATTATTTCCCTCATTTGGAAATTATTTCTAAATTGGAAGAAGTGCTTGGAATCAACCAAAAAAAAAATGGAATTGTGTTCCAAGTGCTGAGAGGGAACAACTGTATTAAACACGAAGTTTTAGATAATCCTTCTATGCATTCAATAAATAACTTCACTTACAATTCAGAAATTTAAACTATAAATTATAAATTATAAATGTATTTAAAATAGAAAAATAGTATTTTAAAAAAAGTTCAAACTGCAAATTGCTTTTCAGGAGCAGAAGTAGCTCAGTACCTACACTGGGATTAGCTGTAGATGTAAAATATTCCAGCAGAGATTTCTCTGACTCTGGTAAGCCATTTCTATACTTTTTATATTTTCTTAACACATATTTTAGTAGGAAATTCTCGAGCTTACAAATGCCAAAAAAACCCCAACAACCCACCCTGGAAATCCTGATTTAGTAAGGTGGCAGTGCTCTACTGGAAGGAAATCAAATTTGGGGTAATTTGAGCTACTAGAAGGAAATCAAATTTGGGGTAAACAAGCTGTAAACAGTGATTGCTGCTTCCCTGATTTTCATTTTTTCAAGTTACCTTTACTAAATATAATACTTTGGAATGAGATGAGTTTTCCTGAACTACTACATTTCTGCAAAATTTTCTGCTCTGTTTATGGCCTTAACTTGCAACCTTTCAAAAACTGAATGCATTGTCCATAGTTCTGACAACGAGATAAGCAACAATTCTCTATTTTGATCTCAACTCCTAAAACTCAACATCTATAAGAATTTATAAGAGTTCCTTTGGTACAGCACATAATACACAGGCTGGGTCACAAAGTAAATGAATTTATCACTACAGGCTCACAGGCTGACAACAAACTCATTCTTTTGTGTCAATTGTTTATTGACAATTAAAAATGAAAATATTTTATCTGGAATGTAATTAGTTGATTTTTCAAGCAACATTTCCTGAGTTTGCTACTTATTCAAGAATATAAGTATTAATTCTTATTTTAAGGTATTTTCTACACAAAGGTATTACTTTAGGTAAAATTCTTGTTTCCAGTCATACCTCAGGAAGAATTTTATGACTTTTAAAAAATATTTATTTCATCCAGACCAGAGGAAAATGCAGGTGAATTTGGGGTCCTTACTTTTAACTTATCTCTCCTTCCTTTCTCCCCTCCAAACCATATCTACATTTTCAGCATTTAAGTCACCATAATCAGCAGTGCTAACTGCTGAAATTACCAGAAATCTGGCATTGCCCATTTCCCAGATAATTCCAAAGCACTCAGACCTGTGTTTGCCTGTCTTTCTCCCAGCAGTTGAATTGTGGAAAGCCTCTCCTGCCCTTGTTGATCAAAGATCAGCAGAAATATTGAACTGCCTCGTCTCAGAGGAACTAAAATCCAAAACATCCTTAACTGCACAAAAAAAATTCCCTCCCCACTGCAAAGCCCTGAGCTTGTATCTCTCAGCTCCAGGATAAACATGGGCAGTTACTGTTGTTCCTGACTGGAGAGAGGATGATGGAAAATCACATCCCTAATCCTGACACTGATCTAATATCCCCTGGAACTCAATTTCCTCATTAAGCTCAGCATTAAGCCCAAACACAACAGGGATTTACCAGGCAGCCCCAGCTCTGAGCAGAGCCCAGGGCTCGTTCTGCACCTGCTGGGCACCAGCAAAGAGGGGCTGAGCTCTGCTCCCATCCCTCCTCTGCAGCTGGCAGGGACAAGCAGGAGTGCTGAGCAGCCAGGGGGACTGCAGGGAGGTTTGTTCTACACTCACCAAAGTGGAATTATCACTGAATCATCACAGGATGGTTTGGGTTGGAGCCTTAAAGTGGATCCAGTGCCACCCCTGCCATGGCAGGGACGCCTTCCACTGTCCCAGGCTGCTCCAAGCCCCAGTGTCCAGCCTGGCCTGGGACACATCCCAGGGCAGCTGCTCTGTGTCAGGACCTCAGCACACTCACAGCAATGGAGAATAAAACACTTACAATTCACTCCTCTAAGGAATCTGGAACCAGGATGATGGAGGTCCCTGCCATGCAAGGAGATGTAGGGATTGTAAATCCTAGTTTTCCAGAAATGGTTTTAAATCTGGTTATATGTTTCTTTTAAATTATTTGAAAATAGGCTTAAAGATTTCCTGTGTCACTGTTTTAAATAAGATCCTACAGCAGTAAATCCTGTTCCTTGTTTAGCACTTGATATTGCTGTCAGAAACTCTAATTTCATATGTGAAATGCAACCTCCATGGAAAAAAAATTCTTTCACCAACATGATGAAAAGTAGAATGACTTTACTCAGTATTTTTGGCTCTGCACAAGAAGGAAAGGTTGCTTCGCAAATAAAGGCTCATGTATCTGATTAGCAGCAAAATACAGCTGATGCCTACACTAATATTGACCCAATCAATCCAATTTAACACTGGAATCTGACTGTTAGGAGAGCCACTGAAATATCTGCGTGCTAACAAGCAGGGTCAGGAATCTGTGCTGGGGCACAGTCAAAACTGCAGGAATGGTTTGGTTTGGGTTCAGTTTACACAGGCAGGTTCAGGAGCAAGTCACTGAGGGCTCACACAAATATCCACAAAACTTCTCAGTCCCTCTGCTGAAAACAGCAAAAGTTGTTCCTAACACAGTGTTGGTTGAAATGGAGGCAGATCCCTGGCCCCAGCGCTCTCTCAGAACTGTGTGAGGAATTAGGAGTCAAAAAGAGGAGAAGCAGAGAGAATCCCTTTTCTCATGGTGCTCTTCTCCAGATCTATGCTGAATAATGAAACTTTATAATAAAACATCAGGTGAATCTGCCTGAAAGTTTTGGAACTGGCCTGACATAACTGCTTCTTTTAACTGCGGTTTGAATGGCAAATAAATCATGATTCCAAGCTCTGCCTCTGCCAGGCTGAATTCTGGGGGAATGAGGCTGCAGCATCCCTGTGGCCCCTCTGCCAAGCTCCTGCAGAGCATGTGGAGCAGGATCTCTCAGAGTGCAGTCACACAAACACAACATCTGTGCAGGTCAGCGAGGGGAGAGGGAATTTGACACAGTCAGGAGAGAAATCCATCAAATCAGACAAGCCGGGGGTTGTGACGTACCATTGACTAAGCTGGCATTTGCATTATCAGTGGCATTTGCACCTGCTGCACCATCTGTGGCTGGAGGAGGGTGGGAGGAGGGATGGGAAGAATCTACTGAGCAATAATGGATAAAAAAAAAAATAAAATAAACAAAAAACCATAAAAACAAAACGGCAAATAATAAATAAATAATAAATAAATAATAACAGCAACGCGAACGAATACACGTGACAGAGTGAAAAGCCTTCGTGGCTTTGTTTGCTCCCAAAATCAAAGAGCTTGAAATTAATTAACACAAATTTCCAAAGCAATGTGGCATTGGGAAGGTGTCACAAAGCAAGCTGAATATTCAAATAATAATAACAATAACAACAATAACAATAATAATAACAAAAGATAAATAAATATGAAACACATTTAGCAAAGTTAAAGGAGTCAGTGAGAACAGAATGTACACAGTCTTGTGTGCATTGCTTTAGTCCTTTTATGTCTTATTTTTTGTACTTTCATGTAATGAATGCATTTTTAAAGTGGTTGAAATGTTTCCTTTGGAGTTCATTTACACAGTGCTTGTGTAGCTTTAAAATTTGCATTTTAAAATGTATTATATCTATATCTGAACATACTTCTACATGGCACAATGGTACATATTTTATGTTTTAAATAATTTTGCACATTATGATTTATCATCGCTGATGCAGCCCAGTCTAACAGGGCTCAACCCATGTCCTGCCATCCCCCAGGTAAAATGCTTATTGATGTGAGTAGAAACATGGAATTTTCCTATATTTTATGTGGAAAAGGCAAATATAGTCTTGAGGAGAATAAGGGGTTGTTTTAAATCCAGATAATTGACATGAGACATTTCCTGGTTTGTGATGACATGAATGAAGAATCAGAAAAGAAATCCTCTTATTCTTTTCAGTTATTATCCACATATTAGACAAAATTGGACAAGAAATCTTTCCTAACAGGAAGGTGAAAAGCTTAAAGAAGGTCTTATCATTTTACTGTGTTTTTTATAGAGAAGTTCAATAAAATTAGTCTCTGCAAACAATAGCTAGAATTTATTTTGTTTTGTTTCTGGTGGTTAACTGCTCACAACAGAACCAAGTCCTCCCATGGATCCTGGCCGAGGCTCTCAAACTGCTCCAGCCCCTGCCCCACAGGGATTATTTTGTGCTGTACTGGGCTGGTACTGCAGAAGAATGGACTGATTTTATTTACAAATGGCAAATTGGGAGAAGCAAATAAACAGCTCCCGGGATTTAAAAACACACCCCTGTGCAACTGCATTCAGGAAAATTTCAATTGCAAATTTGATTACTGTGGTGGCAACGACTTAAACTGTTTTGGTGACTCGTGTTTGTTCTTTATTCCGTTTGGATCCCCACCCCAACCAGCACAGCGTGAGCTGCTAACAGCAAATCAAGTATTCCACATTAAATACTTTGCAATTTACTTCTGGAGAACAGCTGATTATTCCAGCTGAACGGGAAGATTTGCAACACCAATAATGCCTGCACACCAAAAGATTTGGCACCAGCAATCTTGCTGATTCGAAATCATTTTATAATTTCAACTTGACTGATTCAAAGATGATTATTTCAATCAGCAGTTCCCCCCTGATTTGCATCATTGGATGGGGTACAATTCTTACTCTACCTGGAAGCTGCTGTTCCTCCTCCTGTTTCACACCTGCACGGTGATTTTTAAAGTGTTAATGAACAATAAAAGCACACACCCACATGGACTGAAAGGGGGAGGATTTCTGAGAACTGCAGGTTTGTGGTCCAGAGGTTTTAATTTGAGTTGGTGCCTCCATCTGCCACCAGCTCTGATCAGGCATGAGCACAAAGCTGCATCAGAGGATGTGGAGGAATTTTCTGTATTGTGGATTCTTTATATTATAGCTGTTTCTACAGAGCCATGTTCGATTAAATTCTGTGTCTGCACCCAAATTCTAACACACCTATGTAAGAATCTCTGTCTCTGGGTAAGTTACAGCCACAATGTGGAGAAAACTCCCTTATTTCTCTTTTCCTGCCTTTCCAGGCTCTTGCTTGTGAAGCCTGAGAGCCAACAGTGTCCTGAGCAGAGCCTAGGGAGGCCAGCCCAGTTAAACCCAGCACAGGGAGCTCTCCCATCACACAGGGGTGAAGCTGCTCCTCCTCTCCTCCAGACCACACAAAGGCTCTGAACGACAGCAAGAGCAAACTCCAAGGTGCTGCTCAAAACTGGCATAAAAGAGTTTTGCTTTGTGAAATTTCAGTCTTTTCTCCTTTTAATTCTCCTGGAGCACCCCGTGCCTGGCAGCTATTTCTGTGCATTTCTGTGCAGAAATGAAATGGTAAACATTTCATTTAGTAAAAAAGGATTTCCTCAAAGCAGCAGAGAGTCAAAGGCAGACACTTGTTGAACATACTCAGGAATGGAAATTGTAGGTCCTGAAAACCATTTGAATTTGGCCCTTCCTATCTGCAGCTTCATACAAAATGATGAGAACCAAAAAAAAAAAAAAAAAAAAAAAAAGGTGGAATCATATTGCCTGACAGATAGCAAATAAAATGTTCAGTAAAAATTTAACTGCTTTTTTAAAATTAATAGTGAACACCACTAGAAAGAGCAGAAATGTCTGGAGAACCTGTATTAATTGGCCCTTAATCGTGTCTGAAAGACAACTATTCTTAGGACAGACTTGGAATGAAATTGTGGAAGCAGAACAATTTACAAGACTGTGTGAAGAAAAACTGGCAAGGACAGACATTAAATCATGTTTCTGCTTAGTGTGCAGCCCATAAATTAGCAAATGCTTATGACATCACACTGTAATAAGGTGAAAAGCCCAAAGAGCCTTCTTGATTTCATTAACTGATGCAGAACATGAAAGTAAAACTGTCTGCTAACATTTACTGCTACATTCTTGGCTTTTACTATTCTTAGCTTGACCTTTACACCTGAAGACATTAAAATGCCTCTCAAGTCAGTCACTGGCATTAAACAATCCAGGCTAGCAAAGAGCCACAGCTTATCTTTATTTTAGTCCTGAAGCTCCAAGACAGATGCTATTTCCGTGGCCAAAGGGTTTTTTTTTTTTTCTCTGGGGAAAAATATTGAATTGATAGAAAAGCACAAAATCTTAGCAAACTGTAGGTGAGCATGGATTGATGTAGAGAAGCCACAGCCACTGGAGCATGCCCAGGTATTCCCTTGCATTTCAGTATGGACTGGGAGCCTGCAGCTTCACACTGGAAAAACATCATGTTATCCAATGGATTTATTGGTTAACAGCTTCTGCTGTTTTTCTGTGTGACATGTGATGATAAAAATGTGTCATAAAAAAAAGGCAGTTTGAAAAATCACATTTATTTGTCAAGAGCGAGGAGAGCTCTGGCTGCACAAAGCCCAGGAGCTTTCTCTGGAGCGTCCTGGTGTTGGGAGATTTACCTTTCTTGTCTTTCTTCTCCTCCTCTTCTCCCCCAGCTCCCAGCAGAGTGAAGATGATGCCAGTCTGAGAATTCACCCCCACAGCAGTCACCAGCATCCGCCCAGAGCCTTCCATGACATGGGTGCCTGAAGGGAGGCAAGACAGCTTACAGAGAGCTAAACTAAATGTGAAAAAATTATGCAAGGCCTTTCTGAAAGTATATAGAGAGATTTGTCATACTTTATAAACCTTTATTGAGGGGGATATTAGCACATAACCAAAATAAACCCTGTTCTTCTCAACCAAGAATTAATGCTTAAGCACAAACCTCAGGCTGCACATCCATCACCATCAGATTCTCTTTTTAAAAGAAATGCTATCACTAATGAAGTTTATCTTCTGCAAGAAAACAGTTTCAGCAGGACATCACAAATACACAAATTAGGTAAAAAAAAAAAATCCATTCAAACCTAAAGATCAGAAAATATCTTTAAAAGCCAGCAGAGACTTGGTTGGTTCAGTTGGAAAGGAAAAACACTGCAACCTTCCTCAGAAATGTATCAGAGCCTCCTTTAAGATGTGTCACTATTTCCAAATACCTTTTAATTAAGGACTTGCTATTTGTATCCCTGTGTTTTGTTCTGAGGGAATCTTCTCCTGAACTGGACGACAAAGGTGGATAAAAATATCCTCCAAAAAGAGCCATTGGCTCCTAGGCTCCCAGAGCAGCTTTGGCAGGAAAACAGGCATTCAGCAGAGCCCAGCCTGATCTCTGCACCCCTGGAGAGGGCAGAGCAGCAGGCAGAGGGGATGGGATGAGGTATGGGGGTACCAGCTGTGGGTGTCTCTGGGTCTGGATTGCAGGCGCTTGAGACAGTAGCTCATGTTGGCACTCAGGTGTTTACTATTTCTTATCAGTAAAACAGTCTCACTGCTCTGAGTTCTGCAGCTTTTCATTAGAAGGCACAAAATGGCCACAATCTCTTGTTACAAGGTCTTTTAAGGCTAAACTATCCAATTAAGAACCGACACCTAGATTATTTTCCCTTTTAACCCAATAACTGATCCGAAAGAGCTGCAATGTGGACTTTTCTGCCCAATTACAAAATGCCACCCAAACCCATGGAGAAGAAGGAAGAAGAAGCATGAAGAAGAAACCCAGGACAACACCCTGTGCCCTCCATCCAGCTTCCATCTACAACATACTAAAATCCCCAAACCTCAATTCCTCACCAAGTGATACACCCACACTACTCTCTATAATCCATTTCACACTTTTGTGGATTCCAGTCTATCCTGAAGTCTTGGAAACTTTCTCCATGACTGAGGGTCAAAGTCAGTGCTGCCCTGGGGGTCAGGGCACGCCAGGGCAGACAGAGAAATATTCCGTGTCCTGGGTTTCCACAATGGGGCAGATCTTACCTGACAGCAGCATTGGGTCTTTGTCCACGGATTTGCGGACCTGGTCTGACTCTCCAGTCAAGGAGCTCTCGTCGATTTTGAGATCATTTCCTTGAATAAATATCCCATCAGCAGGTAGGAGGTCACCTGTGGTCAGAACAGGGCAATGGAAAACCTCCATGAGACTGCTTTTATAATTACCCAATGATTTTTGTTATAAAATCACAAATAATTGCATGAAAAGGTGAAATGAAAGAAGGGAAGGAATTACTCCTGATTCTATCCACACGAGCCACAGTACTGCAATCCAGCCAGGAAAGGCCTTTTATTGCAACCATGTTCTGCTTCATGCTGTCCCAGAATCCAAATGTATCACATTTAATTCACAGCGGATATCTCCATCATGGGCCTTTGGCAGGGAAGTGCTCCTCACATCACCTGAAGGTTTCTCCATCAGACCTCATAGGAATTAACTGCAGCTAATTAACAGCTGATCTGCCCTTTCCCCTTCCCCCCTCGGGGAGCCCTTAGGCAAGTCCAGGAGAAATGTGATGGCTGATGGAAGGGGGATATTGCTGGAATTAACAACTCCCTCCAGGGCACACAGAGCTCCTGCAGGAATCTTTCACTCCACTGGAGCACAGGGCTTTCCCTATGGCATGGAAATAGCAGGCACCTGACCTGAGGGATCAGTCTGAATTTGAAGCAACTCAACCTCTAATGATCATAGAGGCCCAATTCCCTTCTACACAACATTTAAAAACACGTCCTCTTGCCCCTAACTGGACAGAAATGAAAAGAAATTAATCTGAATAATGTAATCCTCCATGACAGAGAATTACCTTTGTATGAACAAATACAGAAAACTGGAAGGACAAATACAGAAAGCTGGAAGGACAAATACAGAAAGCTGGAAGGAACTGGAAAACTGACCAGTCCTTGTCCTGGTCAGTGAAAGCAGTTTCCACCAATTGAATTGACTTCCTAGTGCAGCTTTAGAGCAGGTCTTCACGTTCTCCTTTTGCCCTGACAGGTCAGGTGTCACCTCAGCATGGCCAATACTGATTTTCCGTCACATAAACCTGCCCTAACCCTGCCCGTGCTACTGGGAAGGGCCAGCAGAGCACACCAAGGCTCCAAAGGCCGTGCACTCACCATATTTGACCTGTGCAATGTCCCCAACCACGATCTCTGCCACGGGGATCTGGATGACCTGTCCCCCTCGCACCACGGTGAACTTCTGCTCCTGCTCGATGCGGCTCTGCAGCCCCCGGAACTGCTTCTCCTTGCTCCAGTCGTTGAAGGCAGTGACCAGGACAACGCAGATGACAGACAGGAGGATGGCAGCACCTTCAATCCAGCCAGCTTCGGCCTCCCCCTCATCCTCAGCTCCTCCTGTTGCAGTCCCACACCCTGCAGAGATGTTAAGGATCGGTTTAGGGAAGGTCGGGTGTACCACAAGAGTTGAAATTTGCTGTGACGTGACAAGGTGAGGGGATGGAGCTGATTTTCCAAGCACTGCCTGCTGATGAAATGTGGCAGAATGGAGGAAAAGGACAAATAATATTTTTTTTTTTCTGTGAAAAAGAGGAAGGAAATAAATCGACAGAAATCTTAGTCCTTTTAATTTTTCTACTGAGCAACCCATCCTTGGTGAACCCAGACTAAACAAATGGAAGGAGAAAGCACCAATTCTGTTATGTGATAGAGGACTCAGAGCTTCATCTGAGCCACCAAAACCTGCAGGATAAGGATAAGAATAATACTGAAGAATAAGAATAATACTGAAGAATAATACTGTAGGTGACAGGAAGGGCTAAAACAATGAATGACATTAAATAATGCAAAGTAATGGCCTTAAATTCACATTAACACCCTGCCAGATTAAATTAAACTGTTTTAACACAATTTTTTTAACAATTTTCAACACAACTTCTAAATGTTCTGAACTAAACACACAGGGAGCACTTGTTGAAAAAACAGTGGGGTCAACTGAGTTTATCAGCATTTCAATTTGATAATGAATGTATTAAGGAACACTGAGTAAAAACAATTCCCTGATATTAATTCATCAGTCTTCTCTACAGAGAAATGCAGTGGGATGCTTCTAGAACTGCAAGTACATTATTGCTGCCAAAAGCAAAACAGCATTAAGAGAACCACTCTGTTCTGAACTGTTAATTCTGAACTACTTTATATACATCTGCTAATTATTTATTTCAAACTTGGATGCAATTAAAATTTAAATAGATAATATTCACCAAAGGAAAGTGACATAGCTGTCCTTACTGAAAGAGCACCATGGAGAAATCCTGGACAACCAAGGGCACATTCCAGAGAAATCCCAACTGGAGGGAGAGAGGAGAACTCAGCCCGGCCAGCAGAGCCTCCTCTCCTGGGGGACCTGGGAATAATTGCTCCCATTTTCCATGAGGAATGGGACCAGACAGGAATTTGACATCACTTCTCCACCTCACCCAGGCACCAGAGGGTTCAGCAACTTTGCTTCCACTTCTGACTGAAGTTTAATTTGGTTTATTCGTCACCTCTTGCTAGAGAGAATTAACAGCCAGGTTGATTTCTGTATTTAAATTACAAACTGGAGCATCATAATCCATTAACCAGCTGAGTAATTACTCCTGCATGTGAACAATAACAAAACGACCAAAAGTCAGAGGAATAAAGATGAGCCTGAACAGCTGCTAAGAGAGGAAGAAAATGAAAATAAAGGGAGTTTTTAGCCAAGTTCTCTGTAGTTTACCCTGAGTTTCTAAGGGCAGGGCAAAGGCTCCTCCCAAGGGCAGGGGCTGCCCTGGCAGGGCTGTCCCTCCACTGCTGGCCCACCTGAACCTTCAGCACGAGAACCTCACTAAAACCACTTTTACAGCACTCAAGCAGGAAATTAGGAAACTTTTTAAAGTCCAGTACCTTCAGCTGCTCATTACCAGCCTCAAACGCAGCTCAGAAACCAACCCTGCAACTTCCTCCTGCAGCAGAATGGGGCTCTGGGAAGGACTAATGAATTTTGTTCTGTTTAACCTTAATCATCTCAACTGGGCTGTGTTGGATTTTCAGATTCCTTTTGCAAATCAGCAGGTTCACTTTTGATTGTTTTAAATGGTTTCCTAGTGCAAGTAATTCTGTTTCAGCAGGTGTAACACAAGAATTCACCCTCCTTTTATTCATTAGATGTGACTTAGAATTAAATATGATGAATATTCTGTTTTTTAACAGCCAACCTCCTCTTCTATTTCTCACAAAAGAAACATGGCCTGACCTAGCCACAGTCAAACACTGCTTTTATTTTCTTTTTAAATGGTTGAAATTTAGTCCAGCTTGCACAAAATTAAAAAGAGCTGCTGCAGAGTAATATTTCCAAGACCCTTCAGTAAAAAAAAAAAATCTTGATTAAGCAAAATCAGGTAAAAAAATAAATATATTCCTTGACTTGAGCAGTGAGGTTAATTTTGTGTTTGATCTCCACATTCACATAAGAGGCACCACGGAGCATGCAAATAATGCAAGACATTATCATTAACATAAAAGGAATTACCTGTAGATACCACATAGATTAAGCACAATCAAATAAAAGAATTCATTTTTTCAGAAAAATTTGTTTTATTCCAGCTAAGAAAATTGTTTGTAACAATGAAAGAAAATCTGAGGGAAGCAGATTGAACTTAGATCAAGCTCTTGGAAAGTGTCCCTAAATCTGACAAGTTTCCACGCTGAATAAAAAATCATGTTTATGACTTAAAATCCTGAGACAGTCCTCCACAACCCAATGAAAACAACAAGATTTTAAATGCATTTAATTTTCTTTTCTGTTCCTTTCATCAGACAATGACAAATTCAGGTGGAGCAGAGGTGTTTGAAGGGAGGAGGGAATTTTAGGAGTAGAGGAATTAATTGCCAGACCTCATCAAAAGCTGAAGTCTTTGAGAGGGTGGAGGAAATTCTGAGTTGATTTTTGAGTTGTTAATTGTTGAGATTCAACGTGGCCTCTCTAAAGCCCCAGGGGATCCCCTGGCCCAGGTGAGAAGTCAATCAGACATCAGAATTTCCCAAAATTTTGCCTTTGCATTTTACACTCCACAGAAAGGAGATGGGATAAAAGTGATACATAAATTAATGCAAAATGTTCTTTTTCTAGGAATAAATTCTAGAAAAAAATTGCCTGCTTCTTACAAGAGCAAGATTTCCGAGCAGATTTTTTTAAAAAAAATATGAAAAGCAAGATTTTAAAATGCAACCTCTGCCCTTTACAACATGACCCAGCTGTCAGGAAACATTTTCTTGACTTATCTGGTGTTCTTGCTTCCAAACTGTTTTAGATGTGTTCCTTTTGATAGGAAAAAAAAAAAAAAAAAGAAAAAAAACCTGCATCCCCATTGGTTTGAGGGTGTCTAATGTTTTCTTATATACTTACAAAAAACAATTGAGTTTTTAAATTTTTTTCTGCTGTTATGGTTTTCTAAAAATGATGGAAAGACTTACATGGATTTACAGAAAGAAACTTTATGTATTTATAGGGGAAAAAGACACAAACTTCTTAAGTCTATATTTAGATTATCTGTCCTTATTGACCTTACAGATAAGGAGAAAATAAGAAATATTAATAAAATTCATCATATTAATATACCTAAGTAGGAAAATTGAGTTTGAAGCACGTAATATTTATTAAAAATGTTCAAATAAGGTTGAAAAATTCATGTTGAGGTATAAGACTGCTGTTCTGCTTTCACAGAGAGAACATGGCTCTCAATGCTACCAAAAATCTGCCTGAGCTTTTATTGAAATGCACAGAGTGAAAAGCAGCACAAAAGAGTTGCTAACATGCAGATGTGATTTGCGGCAGGGTTTTATTCCAAGACAGCAAACTGTGATGTTCTCAACTTAAATTACCTTTAACAGAGGCCCTGTCTGTCAGAAACCCCAAATGCAGAAAGGTAAACAAGTTTAAAACACGGAGCTCTCTTCTCCCACAGCTCTGAACGTGTGCCCTGGCCAAAGTCTGACCTCACGGGACAGAAAATGTGCAGGGCTGGAAACTGAGATGCTGAAGACCTGCAAGTCAAGGATGCAAAGGGCTGGGACTCCTTTGGCACAGAAAAAAGCAGATGGAGCCCTAAAATGGATCAACTCATCCCAAAAGGAGATGGAGCTCCCCAGGAGAGGGAGAACCTGGCAGCACAGTCTCAAAGGAGGCTCAGAAACACAAAAAGGCACCAAGGGAACTTTTGTGCCCATAAAATATCTGAAAGGACTTTTCCAGAACCTTGTGGAAGGAGAACAGGACTTTAAAAAGCTTAAAACTGGGCCAGAAATAGATCAGCAAATCTGATGGAAAAGTTTTCTACAGGGGGGAGATGAAAGGAAGGAAAAATCCAGAGGAAAGGAGGGTTCAGGGAGGACAGAACAGGAAAGTTCTGCCTCCCATCACAGGCAGGGAGCCCAGCTGAGGTGGCAGCAGCTGGATTTCCATCCCTGCAGGGACTTCAGGGCTCCAGACCTGCCCAGAATTTCCATTCTCAGCCCAGCTGAGGTGGCAGGAGCTGGATTTCCATCCCTGCAGGGACTTCAGGGCTCCAGACCTGCCCAGGAGCCTGGAGGGCTGAGCAAACACCCAGGCACTCACCTGGGCTGCCCTTCAAATCAAGAAAATTCAAAACTGGCCTGAGAAACCTCCTCTGCATGAACAGAATTTAATGATATGGAAGAGTTTAGAAGGAAAAAAAAATTAAAAAAAGGGAAGAAAGGCATAGGTTATTAAAGGGAAAGTTAGAAAAACTTGGATGTGCTTGTGGTGAAAAGGGGAAGAAGGAGAGGAGGAGGCACAAGATGAGGTTAAAGCACTTCAGGAACAGTGAGCAAGAGGCAGCACGAGGTAATAATCTGGTGGCTGTTATTAATCATTTCAATTTAGTGAAAGCTAGCAAGCAAGAAAGGGAATTAATAGAAGTCCACAAAAAGCCAGACAGCATCACCTGACAGCTTGCCAGGCTCATGTCCTCTTGGATCTGGAATGCTTTTACACCATTTCAATGTACATTTCTCCTGATATCAACCAAACCTGGACAGATACAGGAGGAAGCACACGGGCTCAGTGCAGCTAAAAAGAATATCTGCTTAAAATTTCAAACAGCTATCAGGAGATTCTTTAAGCTGCTTTGAATAACATAATGATTATAATTACAAACTATACGGTCCTGAGCTGCAGCACAGTAATTTTTAAATCAGAAAAAGTACATTTTTAAAAATCTGGGAACATCTGTATTCCTAAATCCCAACCTACAGCACATACCTCTCAGCTACTCTTTTCAACCTACACACTGCTATTTTTAAGCTGAGAATACCTTGTGGCATTTAAATTCCCTAGGAAAATCTCCTCACACCCCCAGAGGTAATTTTTT